TAAGTTGGTTCAAATCTTATTTATCAGAAAGATTTCAATTTGTTCATGTTAATGATGAATGTTCCACACAAACTGAAGTTAGTCATGGTGTAATATGTATAGACAAGGAAAATAAAGTTATGAAAAGTAACTAAACTACAGGTACGAGAAGTAACTAAAGCTTATAAAGTAACTAGAGTCTAAGACTCAAATCTTACATACATGTCATAACTGTTAGCCTAGCTTCATCAGGATGTCCACAGATGTTTTTGGTGCAACAGGATGTGATTTTGTGGTTTTGTTCCCATCAGTGTTTGTCACTCTGACCTGTGCATTCCGTTATGGTCGTGAGGACTTGGACGTCCTTGGGTTGACGTTTCGGAAGGACCTGTTTGTGGCAAACGTCCAGGCGTTTCCTCCGATGCCTGAAGAGAAGAAGAATCTGACTCGTCTTCAGGAACGGCTGATTAAAAAACTGGGAGAGCACGCCTACCCGTTCACCTTTGAGGTACTGAGTCTGAATCATGATACAATACTGAGACCATCCCTGTTTCAGTACCTTACTTTGAGACACATAAACATGTTTTTCTACAAACCCTTTTTTTTTTGTATCAGGCAACAAAACTAAAGTTACCAGATACTGAATGTAAACAAAAGTAGTACTCTGCTGTTTTTAATACTCAGGGGTCATTGCGTACCAAAAATACTGATGATTTCCATCTCTACTGCTTATCTGTGACCAGAATGTTTTATTTTCTTATAACGGTTTTCCAGACGATAGATACAGCTCTGTTAATTGTAAGTAAAATTACTTAGAAGGAATAGAGAAACTCGTTTATTAAAGTCTAAAATTTTGAGATTTGGCCACTGTTAAAAATAAATGATCAAATTATCCAGAGGTGTTTAACATGAGAGAGAGTCACTGATTTCAGAGGAACTTGCATTAAAAAAAAAAAAAAAACATAATGAAGATTTATATTCTTAATAAAGTGCATTCATGTTCAGATGAATTTAGGGGATGAGGAATTGTTTTACCTAAATTATTGAACAAATATGAAACTGTGTGATCAGAAAGCCAGTTGTCTCTGTTATTGATCGCAGACCTTGTAAATTTCAGATGAGGGGCATTTTTCTCTGACTTCTTGTGTCGGCAATACGTGATTGACAAATTAGTGGTAAGGTATAATGATTTAGATTTTTTTTAGATCAGACATTAAAAATACTTTTGGTCGTGGTTGGGGTGCGGATTGTGGTCTGGGAGGTGTACCTCCTGTTGGATTGTGGCTCAGGACCCACCTACCTGTGCTTCTTCTCAGTCTTTACTTTCATCTGTCAGAATAGTAAAAATATGTCTGATTGCTGGTAATTGTTGGTGCTGCACGTCTTCATAGACACAAAGCCCACAGAACCTTTGTTGTTGTTGTTGCTGTCCTGGTTTAAGTTAAGATGGCACTAACGACAAAGGCAGCCTTGGTTACACGAGCTCTCTTGTGTTTGTTGTTTTTCTTTGTTTTCTCGGTCTCTTGCAACCCATCCTGGATCACCTTTACCAGTGAACTGTTAAATATTGGACAACTCACACCGAACTACCTTTCTCCGATTTTTGTGAATGAAGAATGCTGTATGGACATTCTGATCAGAGGCGCAGCTGCCATATACGGGACATGGAAGAAACGCCAGCGCTTGCCACTTCTTCCAGGTGGAGCACCCTCCAAAACATCACTGGCTACAAGAATCCACCCCCCTGCTGAGGGGAGCCATCAACTAGCAGACGACCTGAATGTGTTCTACTGTAGGTTTGACAACCAACACTCCCCCCTCACCCTCCCAACCTCAGACCCAGCGGCCGCTCCCTCGATAATCACCAAAATCAAATCAAATTTTATTTGTATATCACAACAAAAGTCATCTCAGGACACTTTAGAGAGTAAGGTCTAGACCTTACTGTTATCACTATTATTACAGAGGGAAAACCCAACAAATCCCCCTTGAGCAGCTCTTGGCAACAGTGGGGAGGAACAACTCCCTTTAACGGAAGAAACCTCCGACAGACCCCGGCTCTTGGTGGGCGGCCTTCTGCCTCAACCGGTTTGGGGTGAGTGGATAGAGGAGAGACAAAAGAAGAAAAGCAACAAGACACAACAAACAATCAAACACTGGTCAGGTTGATGTGGCTGGTGACTGCTCATCAGAGACGTAGAGCTCCAGGGCCAGGGCAACCTGCAGAAAGGTACAGGGAGAGAGAGAGGACACACTATGGGAGAGAGGAGACACAAAGTTAGTAATGTGTAATGGTGGCATATAGAAGCATAGGGGGAGAGAGAGGACAGGAGAGGATAGGAGAGGAGAGAAACTCAGAGCATCATGCACCCCCCCAGCAGCCTAGGCCTATAGCAGCATAACTAAGGGAAGGCTCAGGGTCACCTGATCCACCCTAACAATAAGCTTTATCAAAAAGGAACGTCTTAAGTCTAATCTTAAAGGTAGAGAGGGTGTCCGCCTCCCGAACTGAGACTGGGAGTTGGTTCCATAGGAGAGGAGCTTGATAGCTAAAGGCTCTGCCTCCCATTCTACTTCTGTGGACTCTAGGAACCACAAGTAAACCTCCACTCTGAGAGCGAAGTGCTCTGTTAGGATGATAAGGCTCTACGAGGTCTTTAAGATACAATGGAGCCTTGTCATTAAGACTGTTAGTATGTTAGGAGAAGGATTTTAAATTCTATTCTGAATTTTACAGGCAGCCAGTGGAGAGAAGCTAATATGGGAGAGATATTAATAGTTGTGATTTTATTTGTAAAGAAGCTCATGAAGTCATTGCTGCTGAGATCTAAGGGAATGTTAAGCTCAACAGCACTGTGGCTCTTAGTCAGCCTGGCTACAGTGCTGAAAAGAAACCTGGGGTTGTTCTTATTTTCCTCAATCAGTGATGAATAAAATGCGGTTCTGGCACTATGAAGGGCTTTCTTATATGTTATTAAACTATCTTTCCAGGCTATGAAAAGCTCTTCTGACTTAGTGGAGCACCACCTCCTTTCCAGTTTTCGTGAAGCCTGTTTTAGGGAGCAGACCTGCGAGCTGTACCACGGGGCTAGCCTCCTCTGTTTCACTACCTTCTTTTTCAGAGGGGCAATGGTATCAAGTGTATTACGCAGGGAGGCTGCAGTACTATCAACAAGATTATCGATTTGTGTGGGAGTAAAGTTAAGGTGGCCTCCTTCCACTGTGTAGGCAAACGGCACTGAAGTCTATAATGATGGAAAAACCACCCTTCCCTCCTGCCCCCCACCTCTAACGATCTGTGAAAAGGATGTGCATTTTTCAACTCAACATACACTTGACTCTGACTAAAATCAGGCTTACCAAATGAAAATTATATTAACTAGCAGACGACCTGAATATATTCTACTGCAGGTTTGACAACCAACACTCCCCCCTCACCCTCACCACCTCAGATCCAGCAGCTGCTCCCCCAACAATCACCACCCTTCCCTCCAGCCCCCCCACTTCTAACAATGTGTGAAAAGGATGTGCGTGGCCTCTTTAAAAGACAAATGATCAGAAAGGCACCAGGCCCAGATGGTGTGACGCCCTCCTGCCTGAAAGTGTGCCCTGATCAGCTGGCCCCCATCTTCACATTTATCTTCAACAGGTCACTGGAGCTGTGTGAAGTCCACTCCTGCTTCAAACGCTCCACCATCATTCCAGTCCCCAAGAAACCCTCCATCAGTGGACTGAACGACTACAGACCTGTCGCCCTGACATCTGTAGTTATGAAGTGCTTTGAAAGACTGGTGTTGGCCCACATGAAGGACATTGTAGACCCCCTGCTGGACCTACCTGTCAGTGGACGATGCAGTGAACATGACACTGCATCACATCCTGCAACACCTCAACTCCCCAGGGACCTATGCACTGGCCCTCTTTGTGGACTTCAGCTCAGCGTTCAACACCATCATCCCGGACATTCTCCACTCCAAACTGACCCAGCTCACTGTGCCTGCCCCCACCTCAGGAAGCTCAGGAAGTCCGACCTGCCCCAGGAGCTGCTGATACAGTTCTACAGAGGAATCACTGAGTTTGTTCTCTGCTCACCCATCACTGTCAGACTGATCCCTCTCATATGGCTGCATTTTATTTTATTTTAGAAACACAGAGGGTCAGACTGAAGTGAAAGTTCTTGAAAATAATGTGAGGTTTGTTGATAGTGAATTAATTGTTACTGGCAGCATGATAAGTTTCTGTGGCCACCACACTGGGAGCAGCACAGCAGACAGACAAAAGGGTCAAAAAGGGGCTAAAGAAACATTAGAAGCCGACCTCGGCATCAGACTCCTTTACATATTTGTCCGTGTTTTTCCAGATTCCTCTGAACCTGCCGTGCTCTGTCACCCTGCAGCCCGGACCAGAGGACACCGGGAAGGTAGTGATGTTTTTATTTTTGACTTTTCCTCTGAGATTGTTTTTGCTTCATTGTCGTGTTCTGTCGTGTTGCTGTTCAGCTCCACGGGGGTTAAACGCCTGATCCTGGGCACCTCAACACCATTAATATTAATGCCTCTCAGCTCATAAACTAAAGAATCAGCATCAAAAATCAGTCACTACTATGCTGTCGTGTGTTCTCAGGCCTGTGGAGTGGACTTCGAGGTGAAAGCTTTCTGTGCTGAAAATGTTGAAGAAAAGATCCACAAAAGGTAAAAGAGAGTCAGCTGCAGTCTGGCCATCCACAGAATAAGAGATGAATTATGAATGAATGTGAAATCACTCATGCATTAGCCGCTTCCTGCTCAGAAAGCGAGAGGGCAGCTGCTGCAGGGTGAACACCTCGTTACTGACAGTGAATACACCACCAAGATCCAAATTGAACTTAAAAACACCCCCAAGGTCTTAAAATCAATATGCAGAATTCTCATCATTCAGTGTAGGAGCGTCTCTTTGATTAAATGGTTGCTACATCAGTGTTGCGTTGCTGTTGTAGGAACTCGGTGCGTCTGGTGATCAGGAAGGTTCAGTACGCTCCGGAGAAACCTGGTCCTCAGCCGACAGCAGAGACCACCAGGCAGTTCCTGATGTCCGACAAACCTCTGCACCTGGAGGCCTCTCTGGACAAAGAGGTAACACCTAAGTGCTGTATCCATGCAGTTCAACCTGCTGGGGGGGGTGAGTTTGAGTATTTTCCCATAAATGTGCCAGTACTCCAGAAAAAAACTCATTAGTTCTGTCACAGAAAGTTAGCTGGCAAACGTATTGGTAAGAAATGCCCCCAAATAATCACTTGGTCCAGCAAGGTCACTCAGTCCTGATTTTGAGCTAATGATGACCAGAAACCTGAGTGCATCTGCCTGATGTCTCACAGATCTACTACCACGGGGAGCCCATCAGCGTCAATGTTCATGTCACCAACAACACCAACAAGACCGTGAAGAAGATGAAGATCTCAGGTAGGTCACAGCACCGTCTCTTCACCTCTCTCTGGATTTGTGCAGCGGCTGAGTTGTCACATTAACCGCTGGTTTGTGTTTCCGCAGTGCGACAGTACGCAGACATCTGCCTGTTCAACACGGCTCAGTACAAATGTCCAGTGGCCACCGAGGAGTCAGAGTGAGAGTTCTCTCTTTGTTCATATAGTGCTGGACAGAACAAACACCAAAGTGATGTAGAAGACTGTTCACAAAACAGGCTCACCACACAGTCCATGCAGAGGCTGCTTTGCAGATTTGACTGTACCACATGATCTTGGTCATGCTGCTCCACCAGCTTCTCGCTGCACAGAACATGTTGGAGCTGTTTGCTTTTGCTAATTGACAAATCAACCTCCATAAAACTGAGTTAAACATAAAGAGCCCTGACACTGATGACGTACTCGTAATCAGAAGCTTTCATAAAATATTTTTCTCTCTTCAGTGACTTTGTAGCTCCCAGTTCAACGTTCTGCAAGGTTTTCACCCTCACTCCTTTTCTGGCCAACAACCGAGAGAAACGAGGCCTTGCCCTGGACGGGAAGTTGAAGCATGAGGACACCAACTTGGCTTCCAGCACCTTGTGAGTCCCAGAAACACCTGTGGTGCCTTTCAGGCCTGTAGGAGACTGGGAAATTCTCATCAGACTTGTTTTCTGTCCTCAACAGGTTAAGAGAAGGAGCCAATAAGGAGATCCTCGGTATCATTGTGTCGTACAAAGTCAAAGTGAAGCTGGTCGTGTCGCGAGGCGGGTCAGTACGGCATCTTTGTGACTTTGTAGGACATTTCTTTGTTGTTACTGACACTGTATGTTGCTCTTGTTCTGGAACTCGACATGTTATGTTAACTTATGATTCACATTTTTGCTGCTGAGTTTGTGTGATTTAGTCTGAAACATTTGGATGCACTGATTTTAAACAGGCTCACTAAAACTAGACGGCATTAATGGGATGAACAGAAAACTGATGAGATCACACGGAGCTGGCTTTAACAGCATATCAGTAGAAATGAGTAGAAACACGGTGCTGCTGCTGTGATGCTGAAGATGTTAAATGTTTATTGATTTCAGGCTCCTGGGAGATCTGGCAACGAGGTAACCTTTCTATCTTGTCACCCGAGAACACACTGATACAAACCACACAGTGAGATTTACAAAGGTCACCTGAACATCTCATGGTGGCAGGAGCCCAATCACACAAATAATGTCTTTAATAAACCTGCTGTGGATTATTAAGGTTTTTACAACGTCATTCATCTTTTTCAGTGACGTTTCTGTGGAGCTGCCCTTCACATTAATGCACCCGAAGCCGTTAGACGAATCCACATACAAAGACGGTGAGTCCTCTTTCCAGCATGTTCATTCCTCCTGGAATCTCAAACATCAAAAATAAAACTCAAGTCAAAGACAGTGCAGCTAAGGTTTACAAGTAAAACTGTTCATGTTGTCAGATTTCAGTGGCATTACTGTGCACATCAAAGGAACGCAGCTTTCTAATTGAGTGGATAGTTAACAGACTGAATGGAAACATGTTTTCTAAAATAATGCTATGCACACCACGTACACAGCAGTTTGTCTCTCCCCAGTTGTAAATGCATCATCTGCTCCTGCTCTTGACTACATAATAAATATTTAATAAGAATAGTAATATGCCAGAGATTAATATACTGGTTTATATTGATCTTTCAGGTACTGTAGATTTTCCTGCCATGAGATACAGCAGCTCCATGCACTGGGGCTTTACGTATTGTAGGAACAAAAAGTTTCAAATGAACCTTTACATAATACAGGATTTTGCTAAATTGTCCAATATCAATGTCCTGTGTGGAACAAGGGGCAGAGAAGGTGATGGACCGCATCTCTGCAAGTTCTGGAAAACAAAAATCAGTTATGTTCTATAAAATGAGCAGTGATGTGAAAGGTTTGTAGTGAAAATGTGTCTGATGTTGATGTAAATAATCATTTTAAGGTCACACATCTTTCATGGCAACACTGTTTCTGTCTTTCAGCTCCAGATGAAGCTCCGATCGACACAAACCTGATCGAGTTTGACACAAAGTAAGCAGCCGTCTCGCTCTGTCTGTTTCCCTGTCTCTCCCTCCTCCTCAGCTCATCCAGCTGCTGCCTCTCCTCTGTGATTTGATTGGCTGTGCTCTGGTTTACAGCGTTGGTCAGTAAGCCTGAAAGAGGAGAGGGTTTCCCTCCGCCTGCTGGAGCATTAACAGTGATGGACTCGTCTCCAGAGAATTAGCCTTAATGCGTCTTAATGACCACTGCTGTGTGAGCTGCAGGAAATGGGCTGTAAACTGGAAACTCATTCTCCTGTAAGCAGAGCCTTGGAAAATGAGTCCTGTGAGCAACTACCGGCAGCTCTGCACTTCATGTGTCATTATTTCCCACTCGTTAGAAAAACTGTTCACTGTTGCTATGTAGTATTGGATGTACTTTTAACTGTCACTGAATTTGATTATAAACAATTACCATTATCTCATAATTACCAGAAGAGGTTTTGTAACTATGAGACTAAGCCTTAATTACGAGATATGATCCTCCAGCTTTTTCTTTGAACGCTGTGTGCGTCTACCACACGCCTGCCTATAAGAACAAACGTGTTTGTTAATCTGCTGCACTGAACATTTACACTTGTGAGAGGGCATCACAACTATCACTTTTTTTTTTTACCAAATTGTACATGCGTGACAATAAAACAGGAGCAGTGTGGTCAGTGGGGCTTCCACTGGTTTGATGTGGATCCCACGTAGAATTCAGTGTTACAGAGAGAGCCGTGTTAATTTCTCTATCCCTGAGGGCTTGATTTGAGGCCTGTTGAACTTCTGAGAGAAGCAGCAGACAGGACAGCTTGCTCCATGTGCAGCATCCTGGGTGAGAACTGCCCCAGCATTCCCGCCACTGGAATCCACCTCCGCCTTGATTGGCCGGGAAAATCCGGTCCTATAAGCAGAGGAGAACTTTGGCTCAGTCAAAAGCATGCTGGCAGTTGTCAGTCCAGAAGAATGGCTGCTTTGGGCTGCACTAACTAACAGTGCAGTTTGTAATATCAGGCAGCACAGTAGACATATGTCTCTGGAAGGTGATGTAGCATTGGTCAGGTCAAAAGGCTATCGCTGTATATCGGAGGAAATACTGACATGTCTGTAGTGTGTGGAGTTAGCGGAACTTTCCAGTATCCTTTAAGAAGATCCAGCTTACCAACATAAGAAGCTGAGCCAAGATCATTGGTGCAGTCCTCAAGACAGGGGAGTGGAAATGAATCTGCCACGGTGACTGCAGTAGCCTTATAAAAGTCCACAAAGAAGCCAGGGGTCACCCAGCAAGGAGAGCTCCACAGACTACAGCATGGCTTGGCAAGTGAATTATCCAGAAGGTGCTCGACTTCCCCGTCATTATCGCTCTTTGTCACATTTACACAACAGCTGTGTTGCTTTTTTTGTTTTTAACGGGAGCTGCGTTGCTGACTTTTAATATCATGCTCCAACACTGTAGGGTGTGAAGGGACGTCTGATGCGCCTGACTGAGGCCTGTTCTGTATACATGGACCGGGAGAGGTGTGCAGACAGCAAATTGATTAATCAGTAGTCAGTCGCGTTAATCAATTAACACAGTGAGTTTTAACTACTAACAATATCGAACACCAAGTTACTTTAGTTACAAATGAAACAGAAATAACATTGTTTAAAACTGTGGAGCTTCCACGTCGGTCTGTTGCTGTTCAACAGCTGGTTGTGACCTGAGTGGCTTGTGTGTTGGTCACAGGGCTGCACAATAAATCGTTTTGTGAACATGATCCCTGTATGACCTTGTTCTCGTGACGATGATTCTGTCTTGTTTGCATTAGCAGTGAGACCCTTGCATAAAACTAAGCGCTCCCTTTTCCTCACCAAACTGCATTAACCAATCACCACAAAGTGACTTATTTCTGCCTCAGCTGCTATTTGGTGCTAACACCTAGTGCAGAATCAGGCTTCTCTTCCTGTCTACGGTTTGTCGTGTGATGTAATGCATTGCTGCTATTGGTTAACGCAGCTTAGCGAGGAAAAGGGAGCGCTTGGTTTTAAAGGCTGAAAACCATTATAAAGCCTCATCTGGTTCTTTCAAACCAGGAACTCCGAGGGACGACTCAGACCACTTAAGTATATAAAAAATATAACCGTGCTGGTTTATTCAAAGAGTCACAGGCAAGAATTCACACTTCCAGTCCAGAGATCTTCCAACCCCCAGGCTGCCAAAGCAGCCCGGAAACCCAAAAGACCCCGAACCAAGCATTGCTATACAATATTAATCCTTGCTGGGCTGTCGAACCGTGACGTCACCTGATATGCCAGCTTGGCAGCTGAGCAGAGCAGTAGACAAAACATGAAGAAAATAATGTGTGTGGCTGTTGTTTTCGTGGTGTGTATCTAAAACAATTTGACATAACATTACACATTAAGACAAATATTATGGTTACTTTTACCGTCATAATAACATT